CCAAACCGTAGCGACCAGGCGTCCCGATACGTGCTAAGCCTACGTCCAGGCAGGCCGCCTGGGTCGTCAGCCTTTGTTCCCAATGCCCGGCTTGCCGGCTCTGTGAACCCCCAGCCACCAGAGTGAGGGTTGGGAGCTCACGTTCCTACAGAGCTGCTCAGTGGTCAGTGCTCTTTCTCGCGTGGCTTTTGCTTCGGTGGCTGCAGAGTTCTATGTGCCTTTGGAAGAAATACTTATGCTCTGGAGTGGAAGTTGGCAGGAAAGGAAAAGCTAGTCAGAGTTGTTCAGCAAGTTTATAGTTGCATTTGGTGTTTCTTTCCCATCTTTTGTTTGGATTTGGAATTTTGTTTGTTGAAGTCTGTTAAGGAGCCATGCAACTTGGAGCAAATGACAACTTCTCTGTGCCTCAGTTTCCCATCTATAAATGGGAACAGTAACCTCTGCCTTTTGGTTCTGAAGCCGAAGTGAAGTTTCCTCCCAAGTCAGCCTTCCGCCCTCATGCACTCCTGCTCCCCAGACCTGGCTTTCAACAGCCGCGTGCAGCGTCTAGAGGTGCTGATTCTTAGCGCTGCAGCGCACCTCACTTCTGAAGGTAAACCACCTCTTAGAAATGGAAATAAGACACTTTCTCTGCTGAAATTTTCAAAAGGGCAGTGTTGCTGTCTGTGTAGTCTACTCAGAGATGAGCAATTCGGGTCACATAGATCTCACCTTAATCTGGTTTTCTTGGGCACTTTAACCGTCAGAGGCCAACACAGCTACCTTCTCCTGAATACTGTAAGGTTCTAAAGAGGACCTCTCACCAGGGGCAACCTCGGGCTCCAGGGCATCCGAGCTGGCTGCGGGCTCAGGTGCATCTCGCCGGGGGCTTCCCAGTGTTGATAAAGTGGTGGAATCCCCAAAAGGCAGCACTTGGGCTGGAGCCTCTCCCAGCGGGAGGCACCCCAGGCCCCTCAGCCTGGACACCTCAGGAGTGAAACACGGAGTGTGCGCAGCAACCCAGGCCCCCGTGTGACCCTTGTGCCCTCCCCAGACTCCCTGCGCATGGCCACTGAGTCCACATGAGCCCCCTTATTCACGACTCCCCTCTGCCTGCTGCTGCCCCGCCAGCCCCTCAAGCAGCAGGTATTTAAATGAAAAAAATTGCAGTGAGCCCAGTGATACAAGTTAAGATGTAGGCTTTTTAAGGTCATTATTTTAATTACCATTAAAATAATTGGCACTCTGGCTACCAGAAGAATGGAGGCGATCAGAGGCGCAAGGCGCCCCTCCCCCACCCCGAGGCAGGAGCAGCCTTCAGTGTCTGTATAATTAAAAGCTCCGTCTTTCATGAGCACAATAAAGAGGCCAGGGGGTGGGCAGACTGCAGCCCTGCTGCATGTTAATGCATTTATTATGATCAATAAGCCCTTGCCTTGAGTCTTCTCCTCTGGTTTGGGCATCTATACGACTGACAGCAGACATACACACACTCACACACACACGCACAGTACACAGATTTGCTCAGTAGTGTAGACAGTTGAAAGTTCAAAATTATTTGCAGGTAACCATTCTCAAGGTCTCAAAGCATGGCCTTCGGGGCCAGAGAGGCCTAGGACTGGTCCTAGCTCTGCCCTGGGGACTGTGACTCCGCACCCACTCCTCACCTTCTAGTTGCCATGAGGGTTTACATGAGTTAACGCAGAGCCTCAACAAGGCTGCTTAAGAATAACATGCATCATCCTCTCTGTTGCAGTTACGAGAACTGGTCAGTATGTGCATCTACCCCGACCCCAACCAGAGACCCGACATCGGGTACGTGCACCAGGTTGCCAAACAGATGCACGTGTGGACTTCGAGTACCTGAGCGCAGACACAGTGGGCCTCATCAGAAGCCACACCGCTCTGCCTCACCTGAGTCTTCTCTCCAGAGTGGCCACCTGGTAGCTGAGACCAACCAAGAGGGTTCAGCAGGTCCCCAAAGGGGGGGCCGGGCTTTACAGCAGATGCTGAACGTAGGGCTGCTGGGGGAGGGGCACTGGTCATGTCATTGGTGGTCACCTTCACAAGTCCTTTCTTTAAACTGTTGTGGACACTCTCAGCTGGGTTAACAGGGCGGGTGGTTCAGCGAGCCACTGATGCACCCCTTGTATCTGGCTTGTAATGTGAATCTTTAGGATAACCCTTTCAATGGCCTGTCAAGGTCTGTACTAACAGGAGAGTCGCAGGAGACTGTGTGATTTGTAGTGAGCCTTTGAAAATGGTTAGTAGCAAGTTCTGTTTAGCTCTTAGAATCTTTTCAAACAGTCAAGCTGTGTGCTTCATTTACTCTGTTGTAAAGGGACAACGCGGAAATCATTTTTTTAAGTAGAGTGGAGATTTTCCTAATATTTTTATCTACGTTTGTAACCTGATGAATGACGATCAGGAGAACCCAGCATCTGGCACAGGGGCAAATATTATTTGAAAGCCGTGAGTGTTTTCTGTGCAGTTGGCTCGGCCGTCTTCTCCTGAACACCTGCTATGTCCCAGGCAACACTGCCTGCTTGAATGCTGGCAGTGCCTTGACTGATCAGTGTTAAGTGTTTTCCTCCATGAGAAGGAAACACAGGATATGGAAACTATATGGGCTTTGCCCTCAGGCTGTTCTCTGTACAAGTTCTGGTTCTGCAACTTTAAGCAGCGAGCTTCATGGCCTCTCTGAGCCTGTTCCCTCATCTGTAAAATGGGACTGATAACATCTACCTTCAGGGTTGCTGACAGAATTTGAAATAAAATATGTAAGTTATCTAGCACGCTGGAGATGATCCAGAAGTGGCAGCCACTCACTCCTTCACAAAACTGAAGTCCATGGACCATGTAAGTCAAGAGTTAATGTACAACTGTATTATTTGTAGGAAACCAGGAATGTGTTCATTTATTTCTCATTCCCAAATAGGATTAACTGTGAAGACTAATTTATAAATGTGAACTTAAGGAAAACTCAAGCTCTGAAGGAAACAGTCTGAATTTTGTTTTTATACTCAAGTTAATCCCCAAATGGTCTAAGGTGTCATCCACTGACTTGGTGACAGTTCATCCCTGGGACAAAGCACAGGCCTGCCCTCTCCACTGATGTCCTGTCCGGGGCTCTAACCCGGCCTCCCTGGGGATAGAAGGATTTGGGCTGGGCCACTGCTTTGTTTCCATGTGTGAACTCTGTTCTACTGTAAGACTGTTGGATTTGAGAGATTTTCTTCAGATGCAACCTTTGCTTTGTACTCATTCTCCATGATTGAAATAAAACGGGATAAGAGGGCTTCCTTCTGTGAAAGAGTACAATTCACGAATAATTTTAAAACAGCTCCACATTGCAGCACAATTTCTTGAGCCACCTTTAAAAACACAATTTCTTGGGCCCCAGACATTCTGAGTAACCTGGGAATTTTTTTACGCTTCCCAGATAATTTTAATAAATCATCAGCCAAGATGCTGTCCTAAATAATTCCATTGTTCTCTGTACCCCACTTCTGGCAGTTAACCAGGGAGGCAGCCAGACCCTGTCCCCTGTCTGGCACTCACCACTGAAAGCTTTTCTGATTCCGGACAGATTTTTTGCAAGTATTCTGCTTCTGCCTCTCAGAGCCCCTACTGCCCGTCTCCCTTGGCAGTGCCAGCCTTGGACACAGATGAACTTGCTTCCTGCACGCCATCCACCTGCAAGCCCACGAGAACTGTTCTGCCTGCTACTGGGACCCTCTAGAAGCGTATAATTTCAACCACTCACCAGGCCTGAGTATCTGAGAAATGATCGTATCCTCATTATCACAGGTAGTGAGCCCCAGAGCACTCCTCCGACGTCCATGAAAGTGGAGGAACTGGAGGGAGGGCACCCAGTTTCATGCAGCTATGGCAAAGCAAACTGTCCAACCACCTGCTTTTTCATGGTGCTTAGAACCGATCATCTCTTTCTCTTTCCTACTTGGCTGCCGGTGGGGCAGGGGAAGACTGTGCTGCACTCATCCTAAAACATAACAAAACAAAAACAAAAAACCTGGGACCACGAGAAAGTAAGCACACACCAGGGGTGGGTGTAATAAATGTTTATCTGAAGAATCAGAGTAACCCAATCTGACTTCCTCCAACAAATGAGGCCTCGTCTGTTTCTAGGAGGGACACGTTGCTTACACCCACCTGAACGCAGAGCAGCACTCGGGGAGGGCTTAATGTCCTAAAGGGGAAGCCGGGTCGATGGGCCTTAGCAGCCAAACAAACACACAGCCCCCAGACCGCAGCCACTTAAGTTGGTTTTCATTTTTTATTGGGTTCATTCAACAAACACTGGCTGAATGTCTTACAGGGGGAGCCTCCACTGCCCCCAGTCTTCTAGAGCAGTAACCAGCCATCCACCAACACCATTCAGGAAGTGTCCATTGTTTGGACTGTTTCCTCCAGCACCTCAAATTCCAGGGTAGTGACTTTTTCAGTGAGGACCGCAGTGGTCCCTTTCTCACAACTGTACCGGCCAAACCTAGTGAAAGAAAAACAAAAGCAGCATTAGGATCCCCCCAGAAGCCCGACGGAGGGCTGGAGAGAGGGGTAAGTGTCCAGGCAGTGAGCAGGCCTGGCCTGGGATCCTGCTCTTCCAATTCCCACTTCTGTGACCTTTGAGGGGAGTTCAGCTGCCCCAAGGTTCACTTTCCTCGTCTCTCAAGTGCTACCAAATGGGGGTACCTGGTAGATAGGATGTTCACAGAAAGAGATAAAGAGAGCACGTGGCACTGAGTAGACACTCAGATTTCCTTCCCCACCTACCACCCCCAAAAGATGCTGGAAAGCATCTGAGCTCTTGGCCTTCAAGCTTCAGTCTCCCTAAAGCACCCTTCAGTAACCGGCAGGAAGCAAAGCCTTTCACTGAGCTGCCATCACCCTTCTCTTGTAACAAGGATGACATAACCATTACCTTCAACTCTTTAAAAATATTTGGACGTATAAACAATATGAAAATGACCCGCAGCCAGACTCTGGGCCTGTCACTTTTGACCACACACCAGAGACTCGAGAAGGGAGAGCTGACTGTCTGCAGGGCACGGTAGGTCACCACTAGGACATACCCAAAGCGACGTTTCTAAGGTGACTCTGACAGGTTTCTCTGAGCACAAGGCAGCCTATAGGATACGTATGTGAACAGCTAATTTCATAGGAATTACAACACTGTCAAACAGCAGCACAAATGCAACTGCTCCCCTGGTCTGTCCCCCACTGGGTCGTTATCCCTGTCAACCTGGCATGGACTAAGAGAAGACTGCTGGCTGTGCCATGACCACAGGCTCCTTGAAAAGCCAACCTCTTAAATGAGAGCTTGTGCTCAAAGAGGTAGCAGGAAGCAGAAAAGAGAAGATGACGTAACAGAGCTCCGTACAAATTCAGGAGTTTGTGCAGCAGAGGACAGCTGCCCTTCCCATAGTCCCCTCCACACTCTCTTAAAGGATCCAAGCAGAGGCACCTTTTAAAGATGCGCACACCCCTGCCCTGCTGGGGTGACAATGGTGCTCCTGCTCCCACACTGGATGGACCCTTGGCAGCTTGTGGTTTTGCAGCCAGAGCCCCAGGCGACTCCTGTGCACCTGACTCACCTGCACCACACATCTGTGGGAGGTGCGGACACACAGAGCCCCCTCACCACCTGGGTTAAGGCACCTGGTTTTGGCAGCATGAAGGGAGGGGAGGGCTTCTACCTGAGGCAACAGTGGGCTGCAAAACGGGTAACAGAGGGCTGAGTGCAGAGGAGCCAGTGGGAGCTCGCATGGTCAGGTCCCACACTGGGACTGGGCGCAGGACGCCGGCCCAGACCTAAGGCTCTGCCCCTGCCCTGACTCTTCTCTGGGAACCGGGCCCCCTAACCCAGGTGTGGCCATCAGTCACTGGCAGAAAAGATGGCGGTAAGAGTCCAGAGTGCAGACGCTGCTGCTGCAGTGCCCGGGCCGGAGGGGGCAGCTCCGCCCAGGGGGCTGGTACTGACACCTGACACGGGCCTGGCCCCTTTCACCCGCCTCACTGATCTTCACAACTAGCCGCCGGGGTCCTTTCATTTTGTTCCTGTGCGTTACGGTCTCCTTTACAGAGGAGCGGCTCCGTCCCAAGGAAGGATGATGAGCCACGGCCACACTCCCCTCTGGACCAGGACTCCTGCACCGAGCACAGGCTCTGCGTGCAGACCACAGACACTGCTTGTCAACGGCTCAAACGTGGCTTCCAGAGTCCTCACTGAGGACAATGTACAGTCTGGAAAGTGTAACCACCTCCTTCCCCATCTCTTCACCATGGACTTGTTCAAATCATTCAGCATCTTGCAAGTAATGGGGGAAGTGGGCCAGGCAGGGGTACCTGGCCTTCAGGGAGCTCCCCAACACAGCCCCAGGCCTGAGAGGCTGCTTCCCCTCCTGCCTAAGGAATTCCACAGGCTCGTTCCAGGTCACCTCATCTAGCTCCATCATTCCAAGACAGGTGCCCAAAGCACCACACCAGGCAACGGCATGTCCCACCCTGGACCAGAGCGCTCTGCTGTGCTGCCCGGCCCGTCACGAATGCACGAGTCTCCACAATGCTGTGCACACACTGCAGGGAACACCTGCTGGTTCTCTGTGTTCTGTTTTTCACTTGTGAATCACCCGTGATTTGGAATAGAGTGCACGTGGTGGAAATTAAAGCACCGCGGCAGGGGACGTGCTTGTGTCCCCTGGCCGAGCTGGGGGGCTGAGCTCATAAACACTGCTGTGCGCGCTCAGACGAAGGCAGCTGGAAGCGGAGCTCAGAAGCCACCTCTCAAGCGGCTCAGGACCGTACAGGGCTGCAGATGAGCAGCTCACCTACACACGCGCGGCTACCAGGCCTGGGCACCTTCCAGCGCCGTCAGCGAACCAACTAGAACCTCGCCCCTGCTCTGAGCTGAGCCGCAGCACAGAGGGCAGTGCCTGCTCAGCGCCCTGCAGAGTAGGGAGCACCAGTTAGCTCCCCAAACCTAACTTAACAAATGGTTGATAACCATTTAGGACTCTTGGACCACTCTGACGGGAAGCTCTGGCTGTCCTGGGAAATGTACCTTGTCACAGACTTTCATACGGAATTCAGGAGTCTCTGAGAGACTAGAGAAAGGACAGCAAGTGACTCAAACCTCTCCCCGCAATCCCCCGTCTAGGATTCTTTCCACCCAACCTCCCTCTTCAACATTTTACAAATTATATCACTTTTCTACATCTGACAGCAGTCCACAGTCATAAAGCAAATAATGATTCAAAGGTCTGTTGAGTAAGGCTGGCCTGGGGACACGGGCCTTACTTAACGTGGCTAAGAATGAAGAAAACCCTGTCCTGAAGCCATGAATCTAACAAGGGTGGCCACGGACGCCAGGGGACACAGGAGCACTCTTGCCTCCTTCACTCACCTGGTCCCCTTCTTGTTGGGCACTGAGTACGGGCGGAGGAAGTCCAGCTTGCTCTTGCTGATGACACAGAGATCGATGTTACTTCCAGACCCCAGGTCATTGAAGACGCCAGCTGCTATGGCTTCACTCACCAGCTTCTTGGCTTCCTCCTCCTTAGAAAGAAAATGACAATAACAACATCCACAGTCACATGGAGGGCCTGCTCTCATGTCCACTTGCAGTGAGGGGGAAAAAACCAAGAAACAAGAATTAAAGAAACTACCTGTGAGGCATTGTTTCCAGTGCCCGTTTTATAAATGAAGAAATGGTCTCAAAGTACCTCAGCGATTTGCCTAAGGCTCCTCAGCTGGTAACTGAAGGACCCAGGCCTTTCAAACATTTTATGCACACACCCCTTCTTCTACACACTGCTTGACATCAGACACTCACTGCCTAGCTGAGGACTACGGGCTGACAGCAATTTATCATCTCACCAAGGGTTGGTAAATTTTTCTTGTCAAGGGCCAAGTATTTTAGGCTTTGTGGATACACAGTCTCTGTCGTAACTGCTCAACTTGGTCATGGTAGCACAAAACAGCCACAGATAATACATAAACAAGTGGGTAAGACTGTGTGCCAACAAAACTTTATCAAACGAAAATGGGTAGGGCCGGATTTGGCCCATGGGCTATAATCCACAAACACCCGATTGAAAAGGTCCAAAAATGGTTGGAATCTGCTTCCTGGTAACATAATAAAGAAAGTCAGTATCATGGAGCTGGGAATAACACCAAAACACAATAGTTCTGGGAAAATAACAGCAGAGCCCAGGGTGAGAACCTCTTGCCCAAGAGCATATTGCCTCCCATTAATACGTCTGCATGTTCACTGGAGTGATTCAAAGAAATGAATCACTCTTACTTCCCCCTTAAGAGCAAGTCTAAGTCTCCGACAGTTACTGGTGAAAAGGTAGATTAAATCATTTCTTATCCAAGAAGGCCTGTCACTTGCAGGGTCCTGTGCTAGGAGCTGGGGCTGCAGAGACAGGTGAGGCCCCAAGATCCCTCCTTACAGGGGCTTAGAGCCCAGTGGGGCATCAGACCCAAGTAACTACAATGCAGTGTAATAAGGACTAGCGGATAACTGAGAAGGAGCTGTGGGAACACCAGCTGGGTCAGCACGGCTTCAGGGAGAGCTGAAGGACAGACGGCACACACCAGGCACTCAGAAAACAGAAGGCAGGCAGCAGAGGCAGCACGGTGGGACCTGGGGAACACCAAGTTCAAGCTCTTTATGCAACAAGGACAAAAAATGAACCCATCTTCCAAAGAGAGTTTAACTTGAGCTGTAGCCCCTTCCCAGGACACCAGGGTGTGAGAGTCCACGAACACGCAAGCTGAACTAAAGAGCTCGTCCAAGTAACATCTCTGGAGAAACACGGATGCCCTGCCCAAAATTCGAGCCTGAGATCAAAGAGCAGGTTCACTGACTTCAAGTCCTGAGAAGATCTGAGCGGTCACCCAGGGCTCCTGCTCCTCTGCCTGCCCTAAGCCAGTGAGTGGGATTCCAGTGACGTGAGCGCCCTCTACAGACTCACAGAAGGAGAGAGACGGCCCTGCTGGAAGTGGGATCCTCAGCAACCCAGCAGCTGCGGTCATTCTGATCTTTATCCCACCAGATCTTTCAGTTCCTGAGGGGCACCTTTGTGGGGCCAACAAAACCAGTTATTCTCTCGTGTATATACAGCCCCACAGGATTCTTCAAACAGGATCCTCCAATCAGAAATTCTCTCCTGGGATTCCCAAGTCTACAGAGGCCAAAAGCCTTAGCAAAAACCAGTGAAGGTGGAAGCAAAGAAAGCATCTTAGAGCAGGAGATGGCTGCTGCTGCTACAGAGACAGCAAAAACCAACCACTAACCTAACTAATGCAACCCTATTCCAGCTTGTTTCTCTTAATAAACAACATGTGTGCAAGTGTGTGTGTGTGTGTGTGTGTAGAGGGCACCTTGCTTATACTATCCTCTGCTCTTGACCGATCATCTTCCTCGTCCCTTCTTCCTCTGCTGTTCTGTTATTTCCTTTGCTCTGTCATCCCCACTTTTCTCATCACTGCTGCTGGTGCCCTGAGCCAGCCAATAATGGCTGTCACAAATCCTGCTGGCAGCATTTAGGACTGCAGATTTCAATTTCCCAAACTATTTTATATTTGGGGATGGGGGTGGGGGAGGCTTAGAAGAAACTGAAGTACACACACATTAGGCATGCAGACCTAACATCAACCCACGACACCCTACTGATGCCAGAGTGCGGACAGTGCTGAGACTGTAGGTAAGCCTTCTTTTATTTTGCAAATATTCTTTAATGTGAGCAGATGAACATATGAAACTGAAAAATGTGCAAAATGTATTACGTATAGCCTGATTTAATCATGAGATTGCCATGTGTGCTGCCATTTAAGTGTAATGCTTTTAAAAATTGAAATAATATATCTTTTTAAATACCCTCCCCCCCCAACCAATTCTAGGGAAGATAATTCCTCAAGGAAGGAAATATCACAAGTTTCTGACTTTTTTCCCAGTCCAACCTGCCTCTCATACACACAGGACTGAAGATGTTATGCAATGGAATGAACCTCACATTTTATTGAGCACCTATTATAATGTGCCAAGTACTAGGTTAGGCACTTTGATGATCTCCATCATTTTTACCCCTGTCCTGAAGTTGGTATTGTCAGAAACTAAGGCTGAGAGTCAATGACTTGCCCGAAGTCACATGGCCTATCAGGCTCCAGAGCCAGAGTGCCACAGCACCACACCAGGTCACAAGTAACCTGTCTCAGCTGCGAGCAGGGGCTCGTCAGCAAGTCCAGGACAGCAGATGGCAGCTCCTTGATTCAGGGTGTCATTCCCCCATCAGCAAAGATGTTCAGAACCTAGCTAGTTTAAGAGAAGGATGGTAGTTGCCAATTTCTCTTTGGGCCAACTAGCAGTCCCATCTGATGGTGATTTCCATGGCGGGGGAAGCACTGTTTCCATACTGCCTATGGACCATCACCTAAACATTTCCACAATGTAATATGGCAGAGATCACTATTAAGATCCAAAGTCTTATTTCACGTATTCCCCACCCCCACCAAAACCCATCAAAAGGCACATAGGGTGAAAGTTACCAAGGCTCTTTTGTCTACCCATTACTTACCTAGTTAATGTCTTCAATAAATATTTACAGACACCTACTATGTTCCAGGAACTGCTCTGTGTGATGAATACAGTCTTTTACCACAGTATTTCCATACCCAGAATTCTAGACACATATGCAAATATGCTCCTGGGCATATTCATACTGTGTTTTCTTTATAGTAGAATTTCACAATTAAACAACTCTTGTCTTTAACACGTGCTACCAAATATTTAGGAAAACTATCGAGAAAAACCACAAAATAAAAGCGAGAGGTGGGGAAAACACCACATTTGTATCTGTGTCTGGTCCACAATAAATGCAGGAAGCATGGTTTCTTTCTTTAGGATTCATGCCTCACAGGGAAATTGCACCTCCCTCTTCTGTAAGAGATGAAGTGACCTGAGTTCCGAGCAGCATCTGCCTGGGGACAACTGTTACAGGGAGGCTCTGACCAGGGCCCAGCGGAGCCCGTGACCCCAGCTGGTCAGGCCCAGGTGTGAGACTATCTTCCACTGCAGGGCCGGCATCCTCCCCTGGCCAGCTGCTCATGGATTTACATTGCTGGTCACAAGGAAACTTGGATCCAGTCTGTAGACAGCAGCTGGACTCATCCAGGGTATCAGAAAAACAGCCCTCCAGGCCAATGGCAGCTTCTTTGCACTTTCAGCTGCTCAGCCAAAAGACCACCATGACCCTGATGATCGAAAGTTAGTTCGGGAACCCAGGTTCAAGGTCATCTGGCAGATGTGGAGGCAGACAGACTGAGTTTGAATCCCCAGTTTCATACTTCCTGCTGTGCAACCTCAGGCAAGTCATTTCACCCCTCTGAGTTCACTCTCCTCTGTAATATAGTAACGGTAAATTAGGATTCATCCGAAGATTGCTGCAAGAATTAGAAATGAAGTAGAGAAAGCACCTACTACAGAGTGGCACGTAGCTACTGCTTAATAAGTGGTAACTTATTTAATACAGCAAGCCAGAGGGCTTCTGGAGACACCATTTATCTCCAAGCAATGACTGCCTAGGAGGCCCAAGCCAGGAGGAGGAGGTCCAAGCAAACCTGCTGACAAATCTTCACACAGTGCTGTGGAGAAGTTCCTATAATAATTAATCCAAGCAAAAAGCACACTCCCTAAAAGTTCAGAGAATATAAAAGGAGCACTTCCTGCTTTATGGCTACAAAGACCAAACTAACTGGGAATACCAGTCCCCCGGGCCACCCCTGCTTCTTAAATGAGATTACAATAAGAGTGATGTACGGTACTACAAGTCAGCGGTGACAAGCAGCACTTTATAGAGCTATCTGTTTGTCTCCATCACTGCATCGCACAATGTGTCCCTGGACTCCAATGTGCAGCTCCATTTACCGCTACATGACAAATGGGCAGCACTTGTAAAAGGCACAAAGAGGTCCACGTCGGCCATGTAATGGTCACCACAGCTGTACCCGAGTGCTTGAGGGGACAAAACAGACCCCCAAGTTCATTAAACTGACCAGTAATGGATCTTTCAAAAAGTGCCTTAGGAATCATACAGAAAAGGCTAAAATAAATAACTCAGCATGGAAGGCTAATCTGAAATGGTGTTTGATAAATTATTTATAACACAGGCGATTGTCTGCATTTAATATTGGAGCTACTAGTAGCATCTTTAAAAGATGATTTATGTGCTGTAATGCTATTAAACTTTATATTGGCCCACTGCTGGCTATAAAGTCTGCTGAGATTTAGAGAATGAGTTTTAAACTGTCACTGCAACATCATAGGAGATGGAGGCTGTATTAAATCTTTACTTTAAACCTGTTATCTAGAGAGTTGCATTTTGTAGACACTCACAAACTGATAGATTACCTCGGCATCCGCTATGGTGCAGGCCCAAAATAGTACTGCAAAGAAACTTTTCCACATTATTCTTGTCTACAGCTACAATCAAATTTCTCTTCTCACTTAAGTGATTTTTAGATTGAGAATGTCACCAGAATAAAATGTAGGT